AACACCAACAAGACAAACACATCGATATTGCAGAGAACGAACAAGCCAGGCATTTAGCAGTCGTTAAATGAAAGACGCGCCCGCGGGGAAAAAATACATATTGCAAGGGTGATATTTAAAAAAAAGAATAGTTAGGTACAGATGCACGCACGTGAGCTCTATATTTGTTTTGTTTTTATCTAACAATGACATCGCATGGAAATGAGCACTGCCCAACGCGTGGACTTGACCCAGAGACGAGGGTGGCGCAATTTACGTTGCAAAGTTGTTATCTTCCAGCTGAGCCGTTTAACACCGTTCTACACGGTTTTACACGGGTTAACACAGGTTAACACGGGTTAACACGGTTCTACACTTTTCTACACGTGTTGACACGGGTTAACACGGGGTTAACACGGGTTAACACGGTTTTACACGTGTTAACACGGTTTTACACGGTTTTACACGTGTTAACACGGTTTTACACGTGTTAACACGGTTTAACACGGGTTAACACGGGTTAAAACGGTTTTACACGTGTTAACACGGGTTTACACGGGGTTAACACCGTTCTTCACGGGTTAACACGGTTTTACACGGGGTTAACACCGTTTTACACGACGGTTAACACGGTTTTACACTGGTTAACACGGTTTTACACGGTTCTACACGGCTTTATACGGTTTTACACAGTTTTACAGGGTTCTACGCGGCTCTACGCGGTTTAACACGGTTTAACTCGAGTTTACACGGTTTTTCACGGGTTTACACGGTTTTACACAGGTGTACATGGTTCTACACGTGTTTACACGGTTCTACACGGGTTTACACGGTTTAACACGGTTCTACACGGGTTTACACGGTTCTACACGTGTTTACACGGTTCTACACGTGTTTACACGGTTTAACACGGTTCTACACGGGTTTACACGGTTTAACACGGGTTTTCACGGGTTTACACGGTTCTACACGGGTTTACACGGGTTTACACGGTTCTACACGGGTTTACACGGTTTAACACGGTTCTACACGGGTTTACACGGTTTAACTCGAGTTTACACGGTTTTACACAGGTTTACACGGTTCTACACGTGTTTACACGGTTCTACACGGGTTTACACGGTTCTACACGTGTTTGCACGGTTCTACACGGGTTTACACGGTTTAACACAGTTCTACACGGGTTTACACGGTTTAACACGGGTTTCCACGGTTCTACACGGGTTTACACGGGTTTACACGGTTCTACGCGGGTTTACACGGTTTAACACGGTTCTACACGGGTTTACACGGTTTAACACGGGTTTACACGGTTTAACACAGGTTTACACGGTTCTACACGTGTTTACACGGTTCTACACGGGTTTACACGGTTCTACACGTGTTTACACGGTTCTACACGGGTTTACACGGTTTAACACGGGTTTCCACGGTTCTACACGGGTTTACACGGTTTAACACGGGTTTACACGGGTTTACACGGTTCTACGCGGGTTTACACGGTTTAACACGGTTCTACACGGGTTTACACGGTTTAACACGGGTTTATACGGTTTAACACGGGTTTACACAGTTCTACACGGGTTTGCACGGTTTAACACGGTTTAACACGGGTTTACACGATTCTACACGGGTTTACACGATTCTAAACGGGTTTACACGATTCTACACGGGTTTAACACAGTTTAACACGGGTTTACACGGTTCTACACGGGTTTACATGGTTCTATACGGTTCTACACGGTTCTACACGGGTTTACCTGGTTCTATACGGTTCTACAGGGTTCTACACGGGTTTACATGGTTTAACACGGGTTTACACGGTTCTACACGGGTTTACCTGGTTCTATATGGTTCTACACGGGTTTACACGATTCTAAACGGGTTTACACGATTCTACACGGGTTTAACACAATTTAACACGGGTTTACATGGTTCTACACGGGTTTACCTGGTTCTATACGGTTCTACACGGGTTTACACGATTCTAAACGGGTTTACACGATTCTACACGGGTTTAACACAGTTTAACACGGGTTTACATGGTTCTACACGGGTTTACATGGTTATATACGGTTCTACACGGACCGCACGTGGCCCAGGCGACTGTGCGTGGCTCTCCTTCTGAGTTCCCTTCGGTTCCTTAAAAAAGGCCCCCGACCCAGCACGTGGAGCGAATCGTCGGGACATCGTGCCGGACAACCTCATAAAACACATCGGGAGAGAGTTTAACGCTCGATTTACAGGGCTGCAACGCCGACAATCTCACCTCTAGAGCTGCCGCTAGCCTGAGAACATTCACACTGTGGCAACAGCCTGCGAGGCAGTGCCTTGCCGATGAGGATCAACGAAGTGGAAACTTAGTCTCGGTTGCTCAATTTACACAGGCGCCAATGATAATCATTCGTCTGAAAGGCACGATTTAAGTAGGCTGCTTTTGCTGTGTATTGTGTTTATTTATTTATTTAAAGGATTCATAATGGCTGGAATACTCGCAATGTAAACATTGTATAGGCCTGTTTCATTGTAGCAGAATGATGCGGTGCGTAGCGAGCGGTGGCGCAGCAGTTAGCGCACTACGATACGAAGCCGGCCACCTGAGTTCGATTCAAGGACACGGCTCACACATCAGTGGCGAGTGGTCTGTTCACATTCATATTTTTACCTCCCCTCCGCACCAATGCTCACGGACCAGCATGGTGAAGTATGGTCCTAACATCCCCCGTGACTGACTCAACGTTGGGAGGCCATCATCCCGCAATGAATTGGCAAAAATGATAAATTTATGTTAAATTAATATATAACAGTATTAATATGTACTGCACACGATAACAAGTGTAAAGTGTCTACATTTATATGGCTAGGGTTTTTTGTTTACCTTAACACCGTTGTTGAAACTGCGTTAAGTATTGAAATGATAATCGGCATCAAATATATTATGAAAATGTTTCGAAATGTTTGTATAATTCTGCTGTTGTCAATAGTGAATATAATTCATTGTTTCACCGTTAGGTTCGCAATCTGTATGAATAATACAAAATTAAATAACCTATCCGATAAAATGATAATCTTACGATTGGTTTAACACGTAGGCTTTCGCGACCAATATCATCCACAATACAGGTTTTGTGTCGTTAACGACACGTTTATATATTTACGCGATGTAGCAACAAAAAAAAGCCTGAAATCATGAATCTTACGATTATCTTTAAAAAAAGTTTTAAACGAAACAATGGCGTAACATGTGCGTGGCATACACGTGAACCGTGTGCAATAACAATACTCTATACTACTCTATAGAATGTGTGTACATTGAATTAACATTCACCATCGCTCTATTATAATGTCATGTGAACAATTCACCTTCTTCTCATGTTTGTCGACACATCCCATCAGCAAACACGGCTTTCTGGGAGTGTTATGCGTTGTATAGCTTTGCGTCGATCTATAGGAACCCATTCGTTACGGAGAGGTTCCTTGTCTATAAGCATCGGGCAGTTCACCAGCATTAGTTTAACCCAGGCTGACTACGCTTATGAGACACTTAATGTTGTGAACCAGTCCAGAGTTGTGCTTGCATTGAATAAATAAGCAGGCAATATATCCAATTCACATCTGCTCCTCCACATAAAAAAATATTTATATATTTTGTACACGTCCCTTTCGGGAATGCATTTTTACCCCCAGTATGCAGCATTAGTTAAGTCAAGAAACAGCACTGGGCAGGTTTCAACATTCACTGTCTCATCAGCAGTCTGGTTTGGTTAAACTAAATGCTGGCGGACCGCCCAGATATTTAAAGCCAAATACCATCTTTGCTAGATATGGGTCCGACCAAGTGCAACGGAAAACTATAGAACGTAATTCTGTTTTGTTTTATTTAGTACCAAGGTCAATTTAGACACTACACATCCGTACTCAATGTTTTAGGAAAGTAGAGTTCAGTGTAATCAATACAAATACCCACCATAACTTCTAAAGGAGCCAAAACAGCTTCGGTGTTTTACCCTATATCCTGCCTTTTTTCCCATTCAATTATAAAAAAAAAATATTGACGTCACATTTATTTATTCAACCGGGAAAGATTCAATGTATCTCGAGATAATCTTCCATGAGGGTTCTGCATTGCAGCGTTATCCCAGACAATTCAACGGCACGTACTGTACGAAAAGCGACAAAAAGTGTCCGGACAAATGTTGTGTTGTGGCTTCGTGAGCCAACGATACTACTGTGCAGATGAAGCGCCATGGACAGGGCCGTTGCCCGAAACGTCGCAGACTATACATATATTTTCTCAAGCACACAGTGTTGTTGACCAATGTGTTTTAGTTTGCTTTGCGACTGCATGCATGGTGAAAATATTCGGTCGATGTGTTTTCAGTTTGTGTGTTTGTTTACAAAGATCAATGGTTGTGGATCGCACGTAGCTCGTCATCCAAATGATTCGTCTCCGGTTTCTTCCACGCGGTATGAACCCCTTGCTCAAGTGGATTCTATGGCTCACATACTGACAAAACAGGGACAAAGATCCCACGTGTAGCCTTAACAGGCTGTTGAGGCAAGTGCTGTTAGCGAGCGCCTATGAAGGCCGGCACGGGCACACAAGGGAGTGGAGTGGCCAGCACCACTCCCGGCCGCCTTTGCATCCCAAGAGGCGATGTTTGCACACCGCACCAGGTACTCATTTGAGGCTCAGTCGGCCTTGGGGAGGCCCCAAAACCGGTTCAGATATTCCTCACGGGTCGCTGTGGGGGGGGGGGGGGGGGTGGGGGGAGCACAGCGCGCTAACTGCCACACTAATGCCCCCCACTGAGATATACATATCCATACAAAGACAAAGATCCCCTGTATAGCCTTAACAGACCCGTCGAGGCGAGTGCTGTAGGCAAGCACCGATATACATACACATATACATAAATGCACATGTAACGCACACTGACAAACACTACACGCAATCTAACGATTCATCCCATCCTCCCCCGTCCCGCGAAACAAACCCCCCCCTCCAGGTGTGAGCTCACCTGTTCTTGGCCGCAGCCGCACGGTCTCTCTGCCGTCGGTTCTTGAACCAGTTCCCCACCTGCGTCGGGGTGAGTCCCGTTGCCTGGGCCAGCTCCCGCTTCTTGGCCGGGTTCGGGTACGGGTCCTGCAGGTACCACTCCCGCAGCAGGCTGCGCGTCCGCTCCTTGAAGCAGTGCGACTTCTGCTCGCCGTCCCAGATCGTCTTGGGCAGCGGGAACTTCTTGCGTACGCGGTACTTGTCCACGGGCCCCAGCGGGCGGCCCCGGAGCCTCTCGGCCTCCTGGTAGCGCGCCTCGAGCCACATGGCCTGCAGCTTGGCGTGCGACGCCTTGGCGAAGCGGTGGCCCTCCAGGATGCGGTACATGTCCCCGAAGTTGCCCGTGTGGAACGCGACCACGGCCTGGGCGCGCAGCACGGCCTCGTTGCGGCTCAGCGGGTCCCCGGCGTGGCCCGCCGAGAGCGCGGCCGCGGGCAGTGACCATAGGAAGCGTGCGAGCCTCTCCACGTCCCCGCTCTCCTCCAGGGTCTCGCAAACCCCGGCCACCTGCTGCGCGCTGAACGTCAGGGTGGGCAGGTGGAGCATGCTGGAGCACCTCGACGGGCCGTGCACGGAGAATGCCGCCTCTTGCTTCATTCACGGCGCCCCGCCAACCTGGGATAGTGTCGCGTGCCGGGGGGGGGGGGGGGGTGTTGGGGGGGGGGGGGGGAGAGGTTGTTTACGTGCAACGATTGCACGGTTCCGAGCGGATACAAGTGCGATGAAGAAGGGCCATTGCCCGAAACGCCGCCTAATAGTATGATATCCTTGTCGTATGCAGGTTTTTTGACGAATGTGTCGAATATTTGTTTAATTGACAGTCTTCTCTAAGATGTGTTTGATCATTGGCTCGTGTTCTCTCTCCCACAATAATTCAACGTTGCACTGGTCACAATAATGGTGATGATGTACGGCTCTATTGAACACGGAGTATTTCGCGACCAATATCATCCAGGGTATGCGATTCGTTTTTACAGCCCATGTTCTGGGTAAGGGGCTCCCCGCGCCGTGTCAATCATTGGGCGGGCGGGTGAGTTGGGAGCACTTTCCAATGATTTTCTCCGCGGCCGGTAATCTTACTCAGATCGCCGGCTTCACTGCGAAGTGCGCGAACCACAATTCCAGTATCTCGCTTCAACCTGCTTACGAAGTGAAGTTCCAGATCGATCTGAAACTTAAACTGCCGTGCGTTGCTTTTCGTAGGCCGAGCGCGGGCGTGCAAGTGCAAGCGGCCCTCTAGCGCGTGCACCACAAGTCACTTGAAGGGATGTCGCAGGGAGCTCCACGTAATCCGCTTCCGCGGACCGTTCTTTATTTTACTTCCCTGCGAGAGATCTGAAATGAACGTCCCGTGACTACGACGATAGCGCACTCGGGATAACATTGCGGTGGGAAGGGGGGGGGAAGGTGGTGGTGTGGGGAAGATTTAAAATAGAAGTAAAAATGAACGAAGTTAAAGAAACGAAGTTACCTGCGGCGAGCAACGCGTGGACTCCCCAGCGGGCCAGGCGCGCTGTCTATCGGCTTTAGGGTCACACTCCACGCGAGGAGGAGCAGGAGAATTACTGGGTTCGGATGTATCACGCGATGTCTAAATTTATATAAAGTTCGTAGAGTGTTAAGCGAGTGAAATTGATCAAATTCAACGCAGTCTAATTTTGCGTCGGCCCTGCCCAAGATAAGAGTGATTTGTGTATTTGTGAGTACTGTGTAAACTATAGACGAGATTTAATGTGTGCCAGATGTTGGCTGTATTATCCCTTCATGCGTTAGATATAATTTAAGCTAAGCTATTCGGCGGTGATGGCTGAGTCATTACCATGAGCGTATTGTACTATTTCCATGCCACCATCGTATCTCTCTCTCGACGTGAGGATATTTTGACAACAATCCCAGCTGTGTCTTAATATTCGTTATATCGTTTCGCTATGTCTCTATGCATGTGTGTGTATGTATGGGTGTGTTTATAGGCCACAGATAACGTGGAACGAACAGCCGGCTTAAGCGCCACACGCATCAAGATAAATCTATAACGTTGCTCACCTATTCCCTGTCTCTCTGCGATACGCAGTTGCGTGATGCAAGGCTAAATGTGTCGATTGACGACAGATCGCGATCCCGTCGGAGCCACGAGGGTCATGATGGGAGGAGCGAATTCCGAGGTTGCCCCCCCCACTCCACCAACCCCCCCCCCCACTCCTCCACCCCCCACTCCTCCACACCCCCCATTCTACCCCCCTCACTTCTCCCCCCCCCCACTCCTCCACACCCCCCCCCCCACTCCTCCACACCCCCCCCACTCCGCCAGTCCCCCCCCCCCTCCTCCACACCCCCCCCACTCCGCCAGTCCCCCCCCCCCACTCCGCCAGCCCCCCCACTCCTCCACACCCCCCACTCTACCCCCCCTCACTTCTCCACCCCCCCCCACTCCTCCATCCCGCCCCCACTGCTCCCTCCCTCACTCCTCCACCCCCCCGCACCTACCCACCACAAATCTGCTCCGTCTCCCCTCTCGAGGCGTCTCGATCCCCCGATGGACGCACCGCGCTTCGCTTTGACCACCACCAACAACACCACAAAAAACAACAACACCACCACCAACAACACCACCACCAACAACACCACCACCACCCCAACAACACCACCACCAACACCAACACCACCAACAACACCACCACCAACAACACCACCACCACCAACAACACCACCACCAACAACAACACCACCACCAACAACACCACCACCAACAACACCACCACCACCAGCAACAATAACAACACCACCAACAACAACACCACCACCAACAACACCACCAACAACAACACCACCACCACCAACAACAACACCACCAACAACAACACCACCACCACCAACACCACCAACACCACCACCAACACCACCACCAACAACAACACCAACAACACCACCACCAACAACACCACCACCAACAACACCACCACCAACAACACCACCACCAACAACAACACCACCACCAACAACAACAACAACACCACCAACAACAACACCACCACCAACAACACCACCAACAACAACACCACCACCAACAACAACAACACCACCAACAACAACAACACCACCACCACCACCAACACCACCAACACCACCACCAACACCACCAACAACAACAACAACACCAACAACACCACCACCAACAACAACACCACCACCAACAACACCACCACCAACAACAACACCACCAACACCACCAACAACAACACCAAAAACAACACTACCAACAACAACACCACCACCAACACCAACAACACCACCACCAACAACACCACCACCAACACCACGACCACCTACAACACCACCACCAACAACAACACCACCAACAACAACACCACCACCAACAACAACACCACCAACAACAACACCACCACCAACAACAACACCACCACCACCAACAACAACACCACCACCACCTACAACACCACCACCAACAACAACACCACCACCAACAACACCACCAACAACAACAACACCACCACCAACAATACCACCAACACCACCAACAACACCACCAACAACAACACCACCACCAACAACACCACCAACAACAACAACACCACCACCAACAACAACAACACCACCACCAACAACACCACCAACAACACCACCAACAACACCACCAACAACAACACCACCACCACCAACAATACCACCACCACCACCACCAACACCACCAACACCACCAACAACAACACCACCAACAACAACACCACCAACAACAACACCACCACCAACAACACTACTACCACCACCAACAACACCACCACCAACAACAACACCACCACCAACAACACCACCAACAACAACAACACCACCAACAACACCACCACCAACAACACCACCACCAACAACAACACCACCACCAACACCACCACCAACAACAACAGCAGAGGCGGCGGCGAGACTCGCGGGAAGTCGACAGGGGGACTGACCACGCCCCCCCCCCCCCCGCTATGCAACACACAAAGATAAAGGTTCCCCCCTCCCGCCCCGTGGAGCCTTCAGCAAAGTTGGTGGGACAAGTGCTGTTGGCGAGCACCTATTAATGTCGGTAACGGCACACGAGAGAAGAAGGGGGAGCGAGAGAGGCGGGGGGGTGGGTGTCAGCACTACGCCTCTGACCGCCTTTGTCTCGCACCTCCTATTCGGATGGTTGGCTCCGTACGGTGCGAAAGAAGTTCATCGTACGTACGGACTTAAATACGTCTCCCCAGTGCCGAAGTTTACACTCCGCACTCCATGCGCAATTAGCATTGTTATTATGGCCGAGTGGACCTAGGGGATATTCCTCACCGCCGTGCGCTAACCGCCCCACTACCGCTCCACACAGCGGCACAGACGCACGCACACACACGCCGGGCGGCTCGTAGCGTGACGCGCCAACCATTATATCCACCGCTCAGCACGTGCAACGCGCATGCACGCACACGACGCCGACGACTAAAACAAGCCGGATAAACAGAAGACACACAAAACACACAAACACAAACGTACAGCGACAATACATATCCCCGGTAAAGCCTTGACGGCAGCGTCTATGAAGACCGGCACGGCACGCGAGGAGGTGGGCGGCTCGTATCACGCCCGGTCACCTTTGTCTCCCGAATGGCGATGTTTACACGTTGCACCGGGGTACGTACTCATTTGAGGCTGAGTCGACCTAGGGGAGGCCTAATACCGGTTCATGCAATCGTCACCGGCGTCTGTGGCCGTGAGCGGGAATCGAAGTTTCGTCGATTGCAGTGCCATGGTGGTCGCTACACCCCCCCCCCCACAGACACACAGACAGACACAGACACACAGACAGACACACACAGACAGACACAGACACACAGACAGACACAGACAGACACACAGACACACAGACAGACGCAGACACACAGACACATAAACAGACACAGACACACAGACAGACACAGAGACACAGACAGACACAGACACACAGACAGACACACACAGACACACAGACAGACACACAGACACACAGACAGACGCAGACACACAGACACATAAACAGACATAGACAGACACAGAGACACAGACAGACACAGACACACAGACAGACACAGACACACAGACAGACGCAGACACAGACAGACACAGACACACACAGAGAGACACATAGACAGACACAGACACACAGAGAGACACAGACACACAGACAGACACCCACAGACACACAGACAGACACATAGACAGACACAGATACACAGACAGACACACAGAGAGACACAGACACACAGACAGACACAGACAAACACACACAGACACACAGACAGACACATAGACAGACACAGATACACAGACAGACACACAGAGAGACACAGACACACAGAGAGACACAGACACACAGAGAGACACAGACACACAGAGAGACACAGACACACAGACAAACGCCCGCAGATCCATGGCAAGACCGAGGGGCGGCAGCACGCCACACCGAGACACCGTGAATATTGAGCGAAATCGCACTCCGAATAAACTCCCCCCCCCCTTCCATGCGGTGGTGGTGCCAGTGGTGGGGAGCGGTGGGGTAGCGGTTAGCGCTATGAACCTGGCGACCCGAGTTCGATTCCCGCTCACGGCCACCACCGGTGACGATGACCTGAACCGGTCCTGGTGTGATGTGTGAACATCGCCACTTCGGGAGACAAAGGCGGCCGGGCGTGGTGTTGACCACCCCACCCCCTTTGTGTGCCACAGTGCCGGCCTTCATAGGTGCTCGCTAACAGCACTTGCCCCAACAGTCCGTTAAGGCTACACAGGGGATCTTTGTCTTTGCCGGTGGTGGTGGTGGCTGCTGGCCGTGTGTTTATCTCCACCACCACAACGACGATGATGATGCTGGCTACGCGGCTGCCTCCTCTGAGTTAATCTCACGCAGAGTTAACGCGAACGTGCAGACAGACCTCCCACTACGCCACAACGCCCACCTACTTACACGTCATACATACACGTCATACATACACGTTATGTGTACACACATTTTACATACACGTCATACATACACGTCATACATACACGTTATACATACACGTTATACATATATACGTCATACATACACGTCATACATACTGATGCTTCTATTGTTGTGGAGTAACTCATGCAGCCAGCTATGGCTCTAGGGTTTGGTGTTACATGTTATTTATGTAGTTTATTGTAAAAAATTCGGTCACAGTCCCTATGATCACTGTTACATTGCAATTATGGATTTATTTTTTGGTGATTTCGAAAAGTTTTTTGGTTTGGAATTAGACTGATGGCCTTAATCTAAGTTTTCTTGTGGTTGTTGTTGTTTGACTTGCAAGTCATGGATTTTCTGTTTGCACAGTCACATAGTCACTTTAAGATGTTTTCTTGTTCATGTTTTTGTTTGTTGTGGTTGCACCCGATTCAAGAGCTATACCAAATAAATAAACTGAAAATAAAAATAAACACGTCATACATACACGAACAGATAAAGACATAGAGATAGCCTTGACAAGTGCTGTTAGCAAGCACAAAGGCCAGCACGACACACGAGGGGATAGATAGGTGGCCAGCTTTGTCTCCCCGGTGCCGATGTTTACTACACACCGCACCAGGTACTCATCATAATCGTTACTGCTGTTGGCAGTGAGCAGGAATCGAACCCGGGTTGCCAAGTTTGTAGCACAGCGCGCTAACCGCTACTACTACCAACACACACATGTACACACATGTACACACAGATAGCCTTAACAGACTGTAGGGGCAAGTGCTGTTAGCGAGCACCTATGAAGGCCGGAACGGTACACGAGGGGGTGGGTGGCCAGCACCACGCCCGACCGCCTTTGTCTCCCTAGTGGAAATGTTTACACACCGCACCAGGTACTCATTTGAGGCTGAGTCGACCTAGGGGAGGCCCGGGACCGGTTCAAATAATCGTCACTGGTGTTGGCCGTGAGCGGGAATCGAACATACATACACGTGTACATGTCTGGAATCGAACCCGGGTCGCCAGGTTCATAGCGCAGCGCGCTAACCGCTACACTATCGCTCCTCACAAAGACACACACAGACACACACAGAGATATACACACACGCAGATACACACACACACAGATACACACATACACACACAGA